TTTCCAAATCCGAATTGCCGGGCCTTACGCTTGACCCCTGCCATTAGATTTTGTACAGCCACCTTGTCCACCTTCTTCGCTGCAGAAAGCCAGTTTGCCTTGAACTGCTGCTCGCCCTTAGCAGTTTTTTGGTCTTCTTTAGGTTCCGCTTGACAATAGCCCAGTATTTCTCAATTGGGCGGAGCTCTGGCGTGTTGGGAGGGTTCTTGTCCTTGGGAACCACCTGCACGTTGTTGGCGGCGTACCACTCCATGGCCTTTTTACCGTAATGGCAAGATGCCAAATCCGGCCAAAACAGTACGGAACAACCGTGTTTCTTCAGGAAAGGCAGCAGACGTTTATTCAAACACTCTTTCACGTAAATTTCTTGGTTGACAGTCCCGGAAGCTATGAAAATGCTGCTTTTCAAGCCACAGGTACAGATGGCTTGCCAAACCAGATATTTCTTTGCGAACTTTGACAGTTTCATGTGCTTGAAAACATCTGCTACCTTTCCCCTTCCTTTTGCCGTATAAAACTCCTGTCCCGGAAGCTGCTTGTAGTCGGCTTTGACGTAGGTTTCGTCGTCCATTACCACGCAGTCAAACTTCGTCAGCATCGTCGTGTACAGCCTCCGGGATCGCGCTTTGGCCGTTGTATTTTGTTTATCATCGCGATTTGGAGTCACTACCTTCTTGTAAGTCGATAGTCCGGCTCGATGCACGATTGTAGACGATACACCCAGCTTATTTGCGGCATCTCGGAGAGAGAGAGAGGTTAGGGTTTCGCTTGAAACTACCGGCAACTCTCTTTGTCGTCTCAGCGGCTTCCGGTTTTCGATTTCCCCCCGATCCAGACTTCCTGGCTGTCGACAAACGTTCCCCAAACACTTTAATTACATTTGTAACGGTTGATTTGGCAACTTTTAGCGATTTTGCCAACTTTGCGTGCGAGTAGCTCGGATTTTCGCGATGCGCGAGCAAAATTTTGATACGCTGCTCTTCTTGCTTGGACGGCATTTTGACAACTGAAGAGTGAATTCCAAAATCAAAATAGGAGCAACATTCTACACACACACAGCTTCAAAATGAGGGGTGTTCAGGTTTTTTAAATGCAAAATTGAAAGAAATACGTCAAGTTGATATTGACCAAATTTTGACCGTATCACCCTTTAGGCAAATTTCACACGATGAATTTTACCATTTAGTGCATCAGAGTACCCTTTCAAGTTGGCAAACCGATTGGGACACTGGAAATCTTGGACGGTGGTTACATTCAATTATTCCTAACGTTTCTACGAGAGCGTGGTTTAAAGGCTTGGGCTTAAGTCGTGACTTCATTCGCGTGATAAGTAGACGTTAGTGGTTGGACAACTCGCTAGATGCGCATCTCCATAGATTAAACCTCGTGGACAGCAACATCTGTCGGTGTGGAAACGGTTACGATGGCATCAAACACGCAGTTTGGCAATTTATCAGAGAGCATCTTTTGAATACCCGCGAGGCCCAAGGAAGACAACCCTATATTCCTATCATAGACGTGCTGGCAACCCGCGATATCTGATATATGCAGCCTGTTCATGTGTTTTTTTTTTAATATCTAGTATAAGAATTTAATTCCTTTGTCTTTTGTCTGTCTTGTCCCACCGTCTCGATGAGTCTCATCGTCGCCCACTGGTCACCATAACCGGAACTCCAGACGAAGCACTACCGTTCATACTGGCGACAACGCTCTGATGAGACAACGAAACCCCACCCCAAGCTCCTCCACTTTTCCTATCCTTCAACAATATACCCCTCTAACCTCGAGTAAGTCACGAGTATTCGGCCCAACTCCTACTAGACATAGATATAAGTGAATTTTTTCAAAAAACAATGACAATGAATTAATGGCTCCGTAAAGCTAAAGCAGGCAAGGTAAAAACGGATCCCTTCCACTGCTACAGAGAGAAGTTTAATATAGAATTCAAAATCATCAATATTGTTAAAATAATATTATACTTACAAAATCAACTAATCAAAAATTCAGATCTACAGAAAAACACAAACTTGCCTGGTCAAAGATCGACACTAATATGGCACCCTAGAAAATTTTCATTTAATTTTAAGTTTATTTAACACAACGTGAACTATAGTTGATAAAGTATGCGTTGGGCAGATTTGGACTTAAGGGTATAATTACAAGTTTTTTTTTTACTCAAAGCTAGGTATTGCAATATTTACTCAACCTATGAGTAAGAAGTATTTACCTGTCAGTTCAACTTTTACCCAACGGGAGGCTTTAAGCAATATACGCAATTTTGAGTAGTTTAAACCTATTTTTGGATATTTTTTATTACCAACAATCAATACGAAACTAACGATTTTAAATTGGCTCACCATTTTAGTAGCCTATTGGTCCCAAGCAAACGATTAACGTACCCTATTCTAGTTGAAATTCTATTACTACACTATGTTTGTTTTGATTCGCTATGAAAGTTTGACAGATAACATCAGGGGTGTGTGGATTCAAGCAGAACATGCAGGGGTGAGTGAAATAGCTTGGGACTGCTTGGGACCGTTGTTCTGGTACTGAGTGAGCCAAAAATAATAATGATTTTCTTCGGGACCCAGTGGTCTTAGAGTTACCTCTATGTTATTACCGTGTATGCTTCTACTACGTTGGAGATGCTCAAGAAGGAAAAAGTCGATTTTGTCGAAAAACCCTAAACTGCCCTGAACTGCGTCCTATCGAAAGATATTGGGCAATAATTAAACGACATCTTAAGAAAGATGGAAGAGAAGCAAGCTCTGTTGACTGCTTCACGAAAATTTGGTCTGCAGCACAACGCAAAGTTAAGAAGAAAGTTGTGCAGAATCTAATGGGCGGTATCAAGAGAAAAGTCCGAACGTTCTTCAGAAATGAGAAGTATGCATTCAAACTCACGTGAAATCGGTCATATGTATGTTGATTTTATAAATATTTTCTTTTGAGAAACAGGTGTCTACTTTCATTAAGTCCTTAGATTTTATAAAACGCTTCTGCTATAACTTTCATGACCCGTATACGGTAAAAACATTTTACATTGCTTATGTCAGGTCAAAACTAGGCAATTGCAGCCAGGGACCTTGCATTCATTTTGATATTTTGTATGTGCAAGTAACAAGAAAATATTGTAAAGCTTATGTTTGACACAGTCACAATGAGCGATTTTCTGATCGCCTCTTCACGAAGAGTGAAGAGCGAAGAGTGGGTGAGATAAATGACAAAATCGCTTATTGCGACTCTCCTGTAGCAAAATGGACAGGTATTATGTGTCAAACACAAACTTCGCAATATTTTGCTTGTTACTTACAAAAGCAAACTATTATCAAAATATCTTATTATTAAATAATTTCAAAAAACATTTTTTCAGCCAAAATGAATGGAAGGCACCCCGATTGCAGCATACCCAAGTAACAATTTCGGTATTATGAGGGTTCTATAGATCATGATTTGGATTTGTAGAATTCTATAAAAGCTCGATAAAACCTGCAATGATATTTGGGTAGTTTGGTCTTGCAAAGACGCACCCCTTTGTTGTTCAAAATTGGTAAGAGATAATGGTTTAACCTTAGAACCTTAAACCTTAGAAAAATGCTATTTTATTGCGTAGCTGCTCAGATTGACTGTCATGCCATTTTTTTTGTAATCAGAGGAGTAGAGAGCCGGGCAAGTGTCTAGAATAAGAATCTAAATGATGATTCTAAAGGAAAAGCTTCTAAAAAAAATTCTAAAAGGAATACTTCTAAAAACACCTTCTAAAGAGAATCTAGAATAAGCTTCTAAAAGAAGATTCTAAAAGCAGCTTCTTAAGAATATTATAAAATAAGCTAACAAATAAGCTTCTAAAACAGGCTTCTAAAATAAGCTTCCAGAAGAAGCTTACTTAAGAACATTCCAAATGGAGCTTCTTTTGGAAGCTCACTCTAGACGCATGCCCGTCGCTCTGCTTCTCTGCTTTAAAAAAAATCGAGCTTATTATTAAACGAGTATTTTACAGAGATTTTAGGAGCTCCTCGATTTCATATGCAGATTAGCTTATAGAGGTAATGTTTGCTAGTCAGCAACTAAAATGGTTTGTTGGATAGTCTTTTCGACTTGAAACTAGGGAGCATCGAATAGAAGATTAGTAATCACACAGTTTTTGCTTGTTTCAGGATCATACTCGGTCGTAATAAGGACCAAGAATTGTTCTTTGATTACTGTAAAAACCTTAGTTTGAAGTAAATTCGGAATACGATAGATAACCCTAATATACTAGGTCGTATGAATAAAAGCGTTTACTTTACTTTTCCCATAAGAAAAGCACGGGAAAATAAAGTAAAGTCTTTTTATTCATACGACACACTGTATCAACAACTAGTCGACAGTCGAGTATTTGTGCAAGCCACTGATAAATTCAACACACGAAAAACGCGCAACTGCCAAAGATAATTTAAATAATAAATAAATAAATTAAATGAAAAAGACTTACTCTTCTCTCTTTCTTTGATGACTACATACGGGACGATGGTACAAAACGCACCACCTGACTTTTATTTTTGTTTTTCATGGCTTTTCGTAACTTTTTCGATGTCTTATCAAGCAACACTTCTAGCAAAGCATATGAACTCGAAAAGCTGAATGATAAATCATAGAATTTAATTTAAAATACCAACAAAAACTCAAAATTAAATGGAAAAGTGCGTTCTACCCCGGAAGTGCATTTTATACCATTCTTCCCAACACCCAAGTGGGATATGTAAGATTCGCGATGATTTTATACGAAAGTATTTTGGAAAAACTTGCTTTTACGCTACAGTCCATTGTATGAACTAACATTACCTTTGCTGTAAAAAAAAACATGCAGAGGATGTAAGAAATTCACACTTACATTCGATAGCATGTTCATACATGCTAAAAACGCTCTGCTCCAGATGGGCTAAAAATTTCCACAAACTTATCTTCGCTGATTATGGTTTTTCCAGTAATGGTTGGCATCGCTAAATAATCAAACATAATTTTATTTTGTTTTCATTTATTGATTTAATTTATATATTAATGAATAATGATGATCTTTTATACATGAAAGTGTATCAAATAGTTATCGTTTGTCCTTAATTAAAAATGACTTACACCTGATATTATTCAATATCCAAAAGATCATAATTAAAGCATACACAATAAGGCTTCTCTATTCGAAATCAATGATTAATCAATATGTTTGTGTAGTTGCTTTGATTACTCCCTTCTACTCAGCTGGTAGAAATGACAATTTAGTGTAAATTTTTAAATGCGATTCAACATCCTGGATTGAACATGCCAAAGTACAATTCATCCTGATTAAAATACGAAACACATCATCACAAATTATCGTTATTTTACAATCAACGATTAAGTAAATGAACTGATGGCTAAAATTTTCTAAAAACCTCGGCCACTTCTATTTTTCTAAATCAAAACGCACACTGGCAGACAGTTTGGCCAGTCTTTTAGGAGGAAAAGTTACAGGTAGTAAAGGTTCCTAATTCTACAATTATTCTGTTGCAACCTTTTCGGTTGCCATCCAACTAACGGATGATCTAACAATCCCGACGATAGATCTTCTCCATAATTTTGAAGAACAGTTCGTGCGGAAGTCCTCTGGAAATTTGCTGAATGTGAGTTTTAATCATGTTGTACGATTCTTCCTCATAGATGGCATAGGTCGTCGGTAGGCCCAGCTCTTCGTATAGCTTCTTGACACGGGCTATCTTCTCCGGGTCTGAAAAGAAGAAGTATTTTGAGAAAAATCGTATTTAATACAATTTTAGGATATGCTGATCATACCACTAGATCCGTAGCACTGTTTCATAAGTTCCTTCTGGTCATCGGAAGCGCGCTGCATTGCTACGACGGACAGCCAAGTACATTTACCTTCCTCGATGTCGGTACCGATCTTACCGGTAACAGCTGGATCACCGAAGCAGTCCAGGAAGTCATCCTGAGTCTGATAGAAAAGACCAATCTCCAGCAGAATGGTTTTGGTCTGGCGGAATACTTCCGGATCGGTGAAACTAGAATGGAGAATGGAGGATCATTGTTCATTAGCCAGGGAAAAAAATCGTTGAAATATATTGGAGAAATTGGTAACAGCAGCATGGTTTTTTTTTTCGATAACATTCCCAAAAAAAACTATGTCTATGAAATAAAGTCTTAAGTTGTGTGTAACCAAGCAACACTTGTTCTACACAAATTTATACGTAAATTTGTATAAGGAATTCTGAAATCTGTTAAATTAAAATTACAAAATTTTTGGTGTACAAATATGTTTGATTTTATGATTACAATCTACCAAATTTGTGGATGCACCTGCCGGAAGTGAGATACTAGGTAAAATTGTTCGAAAAAATAGCAGCCTTTTATTTTTTATTTTTTATTATCTACATTTGTTAAATGGGTGAGTTGTTGTTTGCATTTTGAGAAATGTAAAATTTAAAATCTCAAAATTGAGCTGAAATGCAAATTATTAAAACTGCTATTATTTCGAATAATGTTACATAGTATCTCACTTTTCGGTCGTGCTTCCAAAAATTTTGTATTTTGTAATCGTAAAATTGAACATATTTGTAGTTCTGCAACTATGGTTACAATTCAATTGATCATAAGACAACAAAGTTGACCATTTTGTATGAAAATCGGTATTCGCAGCGAACAGCACGTAAATATAATTATTCCGGAAAATTCTCGAAGTTTTCGAAAAAGTTTGGAAATGTCCATAACAGAATATCCGCAAATAAACCGAGTGTTTTTATTTATGGATCGTTCTGTTAAAACTAACCGAACGGTTCGGTGAATGTGACAAAATATTTTGTAGATAATTACAGATCATTCGGAAATTAAATAATCAAAAACTAAGTAACGAACTGCTGTTGAGATTTCGGCAAAATTTTACAGATTTCTGTAAAAATTTCTAAGTGTTACTAAGTGAAGAAATATCTGCGGAAGATCCGAGCTCAATCAAGAATGTATAGGAATTTTATCTGATTTTATCTAATATGAATGCTTTTTCATTTAGCAACCTTGTTATTGTAAAATTTAATCCGAAACTAAATAGAAGTAGCGCCAATATCAAACTTACCCAGTCATGTGCATGGCCAGGGCCACCGGGAGGTAGAACGTGTAGTAGGCAGTCTTATGACAAACGATGGATTTGTACAGATCCATCGTGTATTTCGTGACATCCATCCTGGCCGATCGGAGATCCAACGATTGTCCGATGGTTGTGATGAACTTAATTTCATTAAACAGTTCCACCAATTTGGTGTAGTAAGATTCGTCCCCGAACTGCTTCTTCAGCACGTAGTAGATAGCTGCATCGATCATCAGGGCATCGTTGATACCCGAAAGTTTAACGTCCTCCAGTTTATACCAACATGGCTGACCACGGCGAGTCTGACTGCCATCCATTGCATCATCACAAATAAGGAACACCGATTGGAACTGTAATGAAAACCGGAGTAATAGGTACAGTAGGTGAAAAGGGCAGACAAACAGATTTGCGATAAAGAATTTCAGCTCGATTGACGTCAGTTAACCGAACTACATATGTAGGTAATGCTAATTCGTACATGTTTTGTTATTGACAGCACCCCATACCAGTGCTGACCTTGCGGGGTGAAAGGAAACATCTATAAGACGAGCAACTTCTTCTTAGCACAGACAAACAGACTCGACATGTCGCCCATTTTTCGCGCATTGTTCGGTGGATTTGAATTTTCTTTAGCATTTGAGATTTGCACAAACTCATCTTCATTGGTCAAACTGTCTTAGCTGTGAACAATATTCAAAGAGAAAGGTCTGTTTGCCTTTGTTCTTAGAGTAAACCCGTAGAGCGAGCTGAGCATCTGTCAGTGATAATCACAAGTTCACAATATCGCCTGATTCTGAGCAAATTTACATTGCTTATCTTGCCCTGAGTCAACTGAAGCAAGTAATAATTCATAAACGTGGTACTGATAACAAGGACCAACGCACTTGGCTTGTGATAAACTAATAATGTAATGTTTGATTTCATGAGACGCACTTTTTTGGCAGATTAGTTAACGCTCGGTAATTGTCAAATCAATCTTTATGGGTTTGATAACAATGTTTATATAAAAATAATAAAAACTCACCATTTCAATGACCCAACCCAAGTAGTGAGCTCGTCGAATGTTTTCCGGAGTCAGATCCTCACTCTTGGACAGCATCCGGTAAGCCAGGACGGCAGCTAGACCACGGTTCTTCTTACCCTGCGGTACATTGTACTGCAAGGCCCGGACGAACCACTTGGGGGCCAATGTGTTGTCGTATTTCTTAGAATACTCAGTCAAATCACGGACTAGATCGGGAAAGACGGCCATGAACTCACGGCTCTCGCTTTTGGTGACGGCCGTTTGTGTGGCCGCTTCAGATACCGAGTTGTTGAGGGTGGATAATGTCCTGAAACGAACGAAAGAGAATTATATAAAAAATGAAACATTAGTCTGTGCAATGGTTAGCGGTCGGTAGAAATGTTTGCAAAGCGAACGCTTTGTTTGTTGAAATGTTTAGCTAATTTTGTTTGTAGCCTTTTGCAATTATGGCGGACAAATTTAGCAAAGACAGTGATTCAGTATGTTGACCTAAAAATTATCATCTCGAGCCGGTTAGATGTAGAGAAAAACAGATTCTATTTACAGGTAATGACATAGACGATAAAAATTCATAATCAAGAAATCAAAAATATCTCCAAATGACAAAATGACAAGCGATCAACGAACCGAATGATAACGCTATATCAGAAGTGGAAAGCAATAATGATATACACCCCTATTCTGTATTTCGTTTCGAACGAAATTCTCATACAAAAAAATATTTTTTTGTATGAGAATTTCGTTCGAAACGAAATACAGAATAGGGGTGATAATCTTCTTCCTTTTTTATGACAAGCAGCTCACTCAGGGCGGTAGAAGGAAACGAGCAAATTGTTGGCGAGCTGCTTCACGAAGTAAAGCCGAAGATGATACACGTGTGTTAATGGGATTTTTTTTTTATTTATGTCTTTTCTCGATTCAGATCAAGCTATGTCTTCATCGGTGTATATTGCAACAAAGCAGGCAAGCAATATATCATTATCCTTCTACCACTCCGATCGAGCTATGTTACAGAGCGAGTTTGTCATGGTAGTCGTAGCAAACGTTTTGTCTGTATCGTTGGTTGCTTTATGTGTTTGAATTCGCTGCTCGTAATACATCTATTGCCTTTTCTGTCGCAATAGCGCACTTGTTGCCCAATAAACTATCAGTCGAGCCAGCAGGAAGCCTTGGTCGGCTACTGATTTGAGAAACATGCGCAACAAACATCTGAAAGACAATCAAAAATCGAGAATCGCTTCCTCTTGTTGGAACGTCCTAAATATAAAGTGCATGTAGAAACTAGCTAACAAGGTTACATGTAGAGACTTCAAATTTGAAACAAAACCCCTCAACGTTCTGGAAGTTCGTTAAGGAGCAACGTGTGCCAGACGATGTCAAGTACGGTGATGCTATGGCCAGCTCATCCGACGATGCTGCTATCCTTTTTTCATGCTTCTTTCAAACTGTGTTTAATACAAGATCACCCCAACCGCACCCTGGTTGTTTTCAACACGTGCCATCTCATGATAACCGTCTTCCGTGCTTCAATGTTTCTCGTGATGAAGTGTTGAGAGCACTGGCTAAACTAGATGGGTGGAAAGGAGCTGGAGTTGATGGATTAGCTCCTATTCTACCGACGAATTGCGCTGAGCCGCACCAATGACGATATTGTTAGATGAAAAAACATTCCCGAGTTTATGGATAGCTGCAAAAAATATTCGTATTCACAAGTCAGGTAGCTAGCGCCAAGACCGTGGGAAATCGATTCTTTGTTGCTTAGAAAAGCTCGTTGAATCTTTGATCCACGAGGTCTTACTGTCTGCAGCAAAACCGATAATATCAGAATAACAGCATTATCGCCCTGCAACAACCTAAATATACCAACATGCTGGTCCGAGAGATGGAGTGTCGGAATCAAGTAGACTCTGTATACATCGATTTTTTGAAAGCGTTCGACTCTGCTCCGCAAATCTTTGAGGGGAGAAGCTGAGACATATGGGTTTTCCTGATTAGATATCCGACTGGATAATGTCATACTTGACCGGTAAGAACCTGAACGAATGAGGTGAACTCTCGAAACTTTCCATCTGGAGTTACGCATGGGACTGTGTTAGGTCCATTGATCTTTGTCCTCCCGCGTCATCAAGTCTATATTGGACTGTATTGGTTTGAAGGCAGACATCGATGTCCTTTCACGATGGTGCAAAGAAAACGGAATATGTATGAACTTAATAAATGCAAAGTGATCATTTTTAACCGCTGCTATCTGCCGGTAAATCACCTCTACAATATCGATGCTACTTCGTTGGACCGTGTACAATCCACCCGAGATTTAGAAGTTAGGAAGTTGATTTCGAGCTCCGATTTAACGAACACATCTCCACTATTACTGCCAAAGCTTTTTCGATTCTTGCGTTCATCTATCGAAATGCATCACCTCTGTTCTGTGCTTTGGTACGTGGTATCCCAGAATACGCTGCTTCCCATTTGGGCCCCTCATCATACTTGTAAGCATGCTTGGCATACACAGTTTTGCTCACGAACTGATCATTTGCTAATAACTATGCACAGAGTTGACGAAACACAGTTCTGTTTGAAGCAGTCGATAGAATAGAGTTTGGGCTTTTTAAATGTATGTAAAAAAAAGGAGATTTTAATTATAGTAATAAACTGTATTTGCTTTTGCGTTGCAAAAATGAAGTGAGAAATGCTCGCTGTACATCTCGGACTTTAAGTGTAAAAATTCATTGGTGTTGATTCAAATGATAAGATTTACCTACTCTTTGTATGTCTACAGGAAACTATGATCCTAATCTATAAATTACTTTAAAGAAAACAAAATTTAAACAACTGAGTGAAAAGTTATTAACAAATGAGCAGTTGGTGTGTACAACTGTGCAAGCCAAGCATGCTTGTAAGGTGATTCTTATTAAGCGTGTGCAGAAATCTTTCATTCGCATGGAATGATCATGTTCATCTCCCCGATTATCTGGAACAATGTCGACTAATTAATTTTGTTTTAAAAATTGCAACGGCTGGTTGTATTTGTCATCCTCAAGAATAACGTGGATTGCTTGGACCATCTCCTACAAAGGCCTCTAAACGTTCCTCAGCGTCAGGCACTCTGCACTCATTGCTGTTGCAGGTCATAGAACGTTCTATGGCTATAACAATCCGCTCAGTTCCTGTCTCAGAGCCTCCAACTGTGATGTTTTCAATTTTAATGTGTCCATTAAAAACGTAGCTTAAGTTTAACCAGTCTGTACGATATCAACGAAGACGATGAACGAATCAACAAAAAAACAAAATCGTGTCTCCAAACATAGCATAATGCTAAAAAGAAAACAACATTATGTTGCAGCAGATGTCAAAAAATATTGCCTCAATACAATCTTTAGCTAGACATGTCTCAAAACGAATACATTTAAACTCGAAAGAACTGCTTAAGGAACAGTTTGAAAGAAGGAGAAACCAGCTATGAAAAATCGTAGGCTAAAATGCTTGCCAGACTGAGCAGTTATAACATGTTCTAAGCCTATCCTGTTGATATGTTTCTTGTCGATAATTATTCTAAAATGTTATAACTCTGTAGTCTGAGCAAGGCATAATTCTATGAACTACAGAGTTATAACATGTTACAAGGCTATCTTGATGACAGTTTTCTTGCCGGTAATTATTATAACACCCTTGTAACATGTTATAACTCTGTAATATGAACAAGGCATAATAAGTTCTCAGCAAAAATCGTATGTATAGGGTAGAGGAATTTAGGCACCTATTTCCGTCATATCGATTTCAATGTGAATCATACGTTTGGTACGGTAGTATATTTCAAAAGCTACAAAACAAAGTCTTACAGAACGCATAGTACGAATTTTTACATACATTCCTCTCAAAAACAAAAGAAGTGCTCCTAGCGAATCCATTTAAGTCTGCCTTCAACTGTATTCCGAAGTATCAAATGACCTTTCAATGTGTTTGAACGGAATTGAAACTGGTATGATGGAATTAAAATCAAGAAGTTGTGATAGATTTTTAGCCACATCTCTACAAAATGAGAATCTTTATCAAATCCAACATCAAATTATTAGAGGGAGAGGTAAATCAATTTAAGTTTTGTTTGATAGAAACATTAATTTTTTTTGGTCAAACCCGTTCGAAAAAGAGAGTTAAAATGTGGGTTGTTCTTAGTATGACGGAAATTAGATCTTAACCCTATATGAGGTCTCGTTTTTATTTCATAAATCTTAAATAGTTCTCCAAGTCGGTCATCTTATAACTAGGATCAATAAAGTTCGAAAAACTAGTGTAAATTTATGTCTTCATGATGGACATAAATGGAGCGTCACATATGATACATTGTACACTTTGTACATTTAGATCGTGTAAATTTACAAGACATTTCATGAAATATTTTAAATATTGTATGCAACCATCCACCTTTGTAAGCCACATTTCTTGCAAGCTGCTAGTTTAAGTGAAAGATAAATATTTTAAAATGTCTTCAATCCCCCTTCTCTTACAGAGATCTGTAAAAAAAAAAATCTAACGGTTTCAGAATGTGTTTCACTTTTCAGCTTTCGGTCTCTAGAACTAATGGATTGCAGCTTAATGACCCATTTGGCTTAAGGTTCAATTTACTTTGATAATTAATGGAAAATTTCAAAAGCAGTTTTTTCCGCCGCATTATTTTAGATTGCAAAAAGCTCGCACTATTCGATTCCTTTTGATATTTTACACAAAATGACGCGAGCTTTTTGCAATCTAAAATAATGCGTCGAAAAAAACTGCTTTTGAAATTTTTCAAAAAGCATCCATGTAAATTGAACCTTAATGACATACCGTCTGGACATAGCATTAGAGCGAAATATCGATATTTTACTCCTGATCTCGACTGATACAAGCTCAAAATTACAAAACAATTTCAAATTCTATTCTTCCTCTTTCTAAAATAAAGCCTCGTCAAGGTTCGACTAGACTAGTGGCGTTTATAAAGGGTGATACGGTCAAAATTTGGTCAATATCAACTTGACGTATTTCTTTCAATTTTGCATTTAAAAAAACCTGAACACCCCTTATTTTGAAGGTGTGTGTGTGTAGAATGTTGCTCCTATTTTGATTTTGGAATTCACTCTTCAGTTGTCAAAATGCCGTCCAAGCAAGAAGAGCAGCGTATCAAAATTTTGCTCGCGCATCGCGAAAATCCGAGCTACTCGCACGCAAAGTTGGCAAAATCGCTAAAAGTTGCCAAATCAACCGTTACAAATGTAATTAAAGTGTTTGGGGAACGTTTGTCGACAGCCAGGAAGTCTGGATCGGGGGGAA